TGATGTATCCGATGACCCAATACATCGCCCTCGCGAGCTTTGTTCAACAACCGAAACCCGCACGTCTGGCAACCGACCGCCCCTTCCCCCCCCCTCCCATGCCGTCAACGGCCAAGTGCCCAGTTAGGCCTGGGCTGCATCGCCATTCAGTCCCCCGTCACCGTTTGCGCCAATGACGGTCGCCGCACAGCCCGCGCCATGGACCAGACTATTGCCCGCCCGGACCTGGGATGATGCCGCGAAATCTCGCCAGCCCGCAGCGGAAGGGTTCACTTCCTTTCTGTCGATCAGAGCTTCTTTCGCGCGCGTGGCCCAATGGCGTAGCTGGCGCTGAAGCTCACATCCCTGCTCTCGCCTGCTTGACGCCTCCCAATCCAGCAAATCGCCCCAAGCCACCGACCTGGATCACTGAAGCTCCGGGCGGGGCCCAGGTCGCCGCGAGCCTCTAGGAAGAGCAGAGGATTTCAATCATTGCTAGTGCGGGACGCTGCGACAAAGAAGAAGCAGACGGAGACGAAGAAGGCCGCGATGATGACCGGGCCCAAAGAACGGGCAGCGCCCGGGTCATTTTGACGATGGATTGGTGACAGGCATGGCCAGGGCGACGTCAGAGGAGCGGAGGGAGCGAGTATTGCCTGCATCTGCCGCTGCTTCTCTTAAACCGACAGACACTTCCCCCACTCGCCTGCCTTACAGATCTATCCTCCCCCTTCTGCATCCTGAGAGAGACAACGACTTATTGCTTTTCCATGAAAGAAAGTCTCTTTCGCCCTTTACCTGCCCCTCGGTTCTCATCCATCATCGCATTCGATCCTTCACACCAATGTTCGAGAGGGAAGACCGCCCCAAGCAAACCACATCAGATTACAACACCACCAAGAAGACGGGTGTACCGCGCGCTTAGCCCTGTCCCTCACCTGAACCTGACCCAGCGCCAACGACATTGGCATCACTCCACAGCACGACTGTGGAGGGTCTCTTGACCAAGCCAGCTTACGAGTCTTGAGTTGTGTGCTCAGAAAGCTCGGCACGCTGGACTTGATACTCTCTGTCCAGGACACTTAAGTGAACGCTTGATATAATACGGAGCTCGTAACTCGCCGTCACGCACGAAGCCTCCTTTGCCACCAAAGAAAAACGTAGGCCCGACGATATGGTCGTGTCGACGCCCCAGCAAGGGCTCAGCATGCCCAAGTATGTCCTCACGCCGAGCCCACGGAGCGGCCGACCTGGCGTAGGGCGCATGCCCAGCATCGCCGAACATGGCGCGCCACAGCTACAGTACCCGCAAGATACACCATCTCGCCCACCGCATCGCCGTGCAAGCTCCCTGCCCGTGACGCCGCGCCGTCCCCAACGCCATCGGCCGGCGCGGTATCGTTCTGCCTCGACCAGCGCAACGGGGTCGTCGCCCCAGAAGCAGCCGCAGCAGTACACCTTTTTTCAGCAGCTCCAACAGCAGAACGTTCCACCGTACCCCCCGCCATCGTACTATCCCCGCCATAGCAAGGAGCCTCTGTGGCCGAGCCCGCTGAGGAACAGCGTTGCCTGGGACTCGCCGGATCGGGAGGTCGTGACGGAGAAAAAGGGGCGGCGAGAGAGGATCACAGAGAACGCGTGGGTTGCGCGCAGGGGAGGGTGGTGCCGTATCTGCCTGATTATGCTCTTCTTCGTTCTGATCATCGTCGGTCTGTCTGTTGGATTGGCTCTTGGCTTACGAAAAGGGTACGTTTTCTTCCCTTTTGCTTCTTTTGGTTGCTCATCTCGCTATCATGTTTCGTGACTTACAAGACCCAGCGCAAACAACGGCACATCGGAGCCGTCAACATCACCAGCGTCACCAGCGGCGTATCCCGCCGGCTCCTTTTCCTTCCAGACGGCATTGACGACTTCGTCATCAGACTGCACGTCCGACCCGGCGACCTGGCGCTGCCCTCCTTTCACAACCCACGCCGAGGATCCCTCGGCCGCGGGCGCCATCTTTTTCTGGACTATCACCGCGCCTGACGCAGGCGCCAACAGACCGGATTACACCGTGTCGAGCGCAGAGAACCCCTTTGCGCCGCGCTTCCGCAACGTGACCATGATGCTACGCGACGGCAACACGGTAAACGAGCGGCTCGAGTTCGAGATCGAGATGGACCGAGATGTCGTGCCAGGGAACCACACGGCGACTGGGGCCACGTGCTCGTACGACACTATCTTCAGGGGCGTGGTCTGGACTGACAATGTCAAGGGCGGCGACAGGAAGCGGACGTCAATGGCGGATGCGGGCGATGCGGCCGAGGGCGCAGACTGGAGAGAGTGGCCTGGGGAGGTGGAGATTCAGCAGGTCAGCAAGAAGGGGCCGAGCTGTCGCGAGGGGTCTGGGACGGTGATCCCCGTTGCGGCCGGGCCGGGCAGTGTGCGTGCCGTTATGCCAACTATGACCTTGATGAGACGAAGAGGCGGCGGAGGAGCCGGGCGGCGAGTCTGTCTTGAGCTGGTGGTGCGCCCTTGTGAGGCGTGTAATGTCGTGGGCCTGGGCCGTACGGGCTGGAACATGTGGAGGATAAGATACCATGCTAGTAATAACTGATACCCCCTTTTTATTTACGCGTGGCAGCGCGAGATGGCCATCTTTTTTGGCATCCTTTGGCTAGACTGACCTGTTGGAGCTAGAAGTGGATTGGGCGTAGGGATCAAATGTCTGAGGTTCTCAGCAAAGTCTGGAGAGATGCATTCAGTCAGCTCTACGTTTTCCATTGCTTGGGTTCACCGTGGTGTAGCCGCTCTACTCTTGACCTCTAACCGTTGATACCCGAGGAAGCGAAGCCTTGAAATGGAAGCCAAAGAACGACAGGCATGCAGCTGTAGGATTTGCTGACTAGATACCTAGGTAAATAGATAAAGAACCTGATGTAGGTAGAACAACATCCGGAGCAAAATTACCAAGGCAAGTGAGGTGGGCGGCGAGAACAGCGGATGGAATCATCACCTTGCTCTTTCCATCCGTTTCAAGAAGAGCAGGAGCATCTAACTACCCAGGCCGCCCCTTCCTTCTATCTTCGCTGCTACTCTTGACCCCCTTCTGAATATTTCTTCCTGGGTAGGTACGCGGGTCAAGCCCCCATCTACATCCCATCATCTCTGGGTGTAGTTACTTCTTCATTTCTGCCAGCTTCAACCACCGCAACCCTCTCTCAAATTCACGTTTTGTTTGCGACTAATGCCGAGAGTAGATTGTCAGAAGCCACTGCAAGCCGTTCGAGCGAATAAGTCAAGGCTTTGAATGCTGTACGATCGTTTCGTCCTTCTTTTCTTCACTCAGCTTCGACGAACCTCCGGCGCCCTGGAACGCTGTTCAGGCACCGGCACTCTGTCCTGATTACGAACACCGTCTCGCTCATTGAGTGGTTCCCTGGTCCCAGATCTCTCAGGGGTCTGCGAACAACCTTCCATTCTTTTCTTCTTCTCCGTTTTCGGCAAGCTTCCTCCTTAGCTGTTACGCAGGAGAGCCAAACACAATGGCTAGCAAAGTCCAGGACTTGAGTGTTACCAACAAGCAACTTTCGATCAAAAACATCGAGGGATCCGTTTTCTTGTTCTACAACTGCAATCCCGACCAAGTCGTTGGTGCTGATGCATCCACCATCACTGTCGACAACGTAGCGGGGAACGTCTACATATTACACACAACGCACCTTGAGAAGCATCTACCGATGCCTGTATCTGTGCGCGGCTCTCGAATGACCGTGGCTTCCAATGTCGTGTTCAAGGAAGGTATCGTCGTCGTGCAAAATGTCGAGTCAGACCTGATTCGTGTGCACTCGAACAACTCCTCGGCCCAGGCAGTTAAGATACGACATGTTAGCGGCAACGTCATCTCGGAAGGCGGCGTCCCTGTGAATGTCCGGATCAGCGAGTGGGACGGCGAGTTCACTGCCTCCCTTCCATCAACCATAGAGCTAGCCCAAATCATGGAGAAGGCCGCTTCCGCATAGAATGCAGGCGAACATGCTCAGCGAAGCAGGTCGGGTGGTGGTAGGAACGTCAGCTCAGTTGCCCAAACCCGTCTGAAGGGATTGCGCCGCGAAAAGAAAGAGCGGCTCCGACATCAAGTGTCACAGCACCATGAAGCCGCTTTGAATGCGTCCTCATCCTATCCTTCGTCTCAGGAGAGACTCCCCCGCGGACAAAGCCTCTATAAAACCGACTACACACCGCATATTCATGGATCTTCAAGAGAAGTTATAGCCGGTCGCGCCTGGCGTGCCCGACATACGGGGCCTGATACTGATCAATTTAGTCACGAGTCTCGACGAGGCTGGCCCACGTGGCTTACGTACGAGCTAGATCGAACAACATCCTCGGGCTCGACGAGGATCGGCCTCGAAACCCGAGCCCGTCGCGGCCAGTATGGCAATGACAGCCATTCTGTGCCTCCGTATGGTGAACGCGCGCAAAACAGCGAGGCAATGTTTTCATACGACGACTACAACGAGAACGAGAATGTGGATTGGGCCAGTATGAATATGCAAAGCAGAAAACGTCAGAGATCCGAAGTCGACGAAGTCGACGAGCCCGCCGACGCCCATTCCGACAAGAGAATGAGGATTTGAAGGTTGCAGAGTGCGTGAGCGACTGGAGGAGGGATCGCGGTATCGAGGAAGATGATCGGACAGTTGTCTTGTGCTTTATGAATTGCTATGCCTGGAAAAGGGCACGTTGTGGTACGCACACTTGTCGCCGAGCTTACGGTGACCGGTGTTTGCGCTGTATTAACCACACCTGGTTGCAAAGGTGACTTTATCAAGTCCAGTAAAAGGAAAGGGAGTTGTTGCAATCCTGTCTTTGTCGAGCTCGCGCAGGAAGTTTCATGCTCCAAGTTGCTCGACCTAGTTGCTCAATGTTAAAAAGATATCATGAAGTAGCCCCAAGGCCGTACTGGGTGACAACCAGTAGTATTATCCAGCAGGCTGCCTCAGCCATTCATTACAGATATGATACAATAAGAGACCATTTTGACCCGCTATATACAGGGTCGGGAGCCAAGTCGATACTGACCCGTCTATATGTGGAAAGTTCCACTTCATGTCCAAACGCACTATGCCATCACTCTCTCTAGGTTATCTCTCCGGGACGGGCTGTGGCCGTCCAGTGTCTTTAGAACAACGAAAATGCGGCCATGACTTGCCCACTCAGCCCTTACGCGCCAGATACGCCCAGAACAGCAGCACCATCCACGCGACGCGCCACACGCACGCCAGCACCTCGCGGCCCATCAGCCCGAGCGACGTCCGCGGCCTTGCCGACGCGGCACGCCACGACGAGCCGAGCGAGCGCGACTTGCCGCTGTCGTAGAGGTCGTCCCTGTATATGTCGATGCGCGGACCGCTCTTCTCGGCCCAGCCCCACTTCTTGCCGTGGTGCTTGTGGCGGCCTGTCGAACCCGCACGCGCGGCGCCGCCACTGCCGCCGAAGCCGTTGGCGGAGGACGTCAGGGACGAGCTGCGGAGGCGCGAGGAACGGTACTGCGAGGAGCCGGAGGCGGCCGTGGTCGAGTTGTGGTGGGCATAGTAGCCGTCGTCCTCGACCTTGTCCTTGTAGGTGGGCAGGAGGCCGCCGGCGCCGGGGCTCTGGTCGGCGGCGAGGGTGAAGGGGGTGAAGCCCAGGACGGGCATGAGGAGGGCGCGGACGACAATGGCCGCGAGGCAGACGACGCCAAAGACGGCGTACTTGATGAAGGTCGAGATCTGGTTCGGCAGGTGGCAGAGGTGCGTCTGCAGTGTCTGCTGTGGCGAGCCGGGGAGCGGCTTTCCGTGGTCGTCCACGGGGTTGAAGAGGCTGACCATGACGAAGCCGGGCGTGGGCACACCCATGGCCATGTTCAAGCTCTTGACGGTGATCTCGCGCACGTTGTTCTTGCTGTCGGAGTGGACGACCTCGCAGTAGTCGTGATCGTCGCCCGAGAAGGCGTGGACGACATTGCCGATGCTCTTGACGAGCTTGACCGAGTCCTCCTCGCTCAGCACGTTCTGGTACTGGTAGCCCCTCGAGACGGAGATCGCGTTGCGGTGGTCCGGCTTCACGGGCTCCGTCTGCCCGGCAGGCTTCGGCAGCGGAGGCCAGTGCTCCCTAAGGGGGCCACAAGGCGTACCGGGGTCCCTGTAGAGCGGAACATGGGAGAGAAGAATGGTGGGGAAGTCGCCGTTGGCCTTGTCGGGGTTGAGGCGCGGAACGTTGTCGAGATTCGGCCGGGAGACGTCTTCGACGTCGTGCTTGAAGGCGACCTCGCCGACCTCGCCGCGCCAGAACCGGAGCTCCTTCTCAACCGCCTTTTGCTTCAAGGACTGAACATTCTGGAGGAAAATGTTTGCGGGTTCGTAGATGGACTTCAGGTCGACCCGAGTGAGGGCGTCGGATGAGTCGGCGCTCAGCGAGACCGTGTCGACGGACACGATCGTATGGTTGCCAATGACGTCGACCCGGTTGCCGTCACCAAAGAAGGCGCTGAAACGGTCGCGCACGGGGATCTTGATCTCGTCGCCGAATCCCAAATCGTGGTTGCCCGGCAGCCCAGCGACGAGTTTCCGCCCCCTCTGCCAGGGACCGGGCTGCTCGCCATCGGTGTTCCAGTCCTTGATGAACATGTCGCTGAAGCGCGCGTATTCCTTCAGCCAGAACCCTTCTCCGTACTTCTTGTTCCACGTCTTGACGTGCTTCTCCTCGCTCTTGGGTCGGTGGCCGGCCGCCCACCTAGGATCGCTGAAGTCGCCCACGGCCGTCTTCCATTCCCGGCCGCCGTCGAACAGATCGCCGAGGAAGAAGACCGAGTCGGGCTGCAGCTGGGTTCGCAGCTGTCTGTAGCCCTTGCGCAAGTAGTTGTCTGTGATGAGCACGGTGAGCTCCGACAGGAGCCACGGCCGATCAGGGTAGGAGTGCGGATCGATGAGCTGGGGGTCGGCGACGAAGATGAGGTGGTGAGGGGTAGCTCCTGCTGGCTGCAACACGGGCGGCATCAGTCTTGCTCTCCTCATCTGGGGCGGCCAGGTATACATAGAGCGACTTACCCATTTCTCCCACTTGTCCCATCTGCAACTGGCGACGCGGCTGTCGAACACCCAGTATTCTCCCCACAACATGAGCAGCACGAAGAAGCCCACCAGCAAGTGGGGGAAGCTGAAGAGGCGGCGCGCCGTCAGGTTCATCCTGACCTGCCACACGGCTCGTGTGAGAAGGCTGGCCAGCAGGCCGGACCGATTGTTTCGCAAAGCCTTGACCGATTGCTGCAGCGCTTGGAGGGCACCAGCAAGGAGGTGTCGGCAGTTGGCGGCGACGCTGTTGTTGCGTCGCACCCGCGGGAGGTATCCTGTGTTGGGCCCAAAGCCATTGCTATACGAGGGAGCCATGCTCCATCACCTGGTGCTGCGACTCTCCGGCCTGTGTGGATGCGCGGCCAGGCAGCCGGCGATGCCTCGCGACGCGAAGTCAAGCTGTCGGGTCGATTTTGGCTGAGCGAGCGAGTGTGAGCTCTTGTGCGGCTGCGGACAGATGCGGGTCGCGCAAGGTGCGGTCACAGAGAGAAACAGGCTTCGCTGTGCTGTGTTTCGTCGGGTGTTCGTATTCTCGGCGGCCTTGAGCTCACTCGGGATCAAGCACCTGCTGGACGGGGATTGAGGCTGACGTTTGCTGGCAGGATGGTCTCTCTGATGGAGGCCAGAAGTTGCGCGAGCCCCCTTTGCTGCTGCGCTGCTGAAGAGGACCGCATTTTGGGACCCACCGTGCATGGTCATTTTTAGAGCATGCTCCGGGGTAGGCCCACAGCGCCCCTGAGCCTAACGCCAAGTCGCCAGGCCTAGAACTCGACTTTTCACCGCGATGTGTTCTGTCCTGCTGTGGGTAGAGTTTCATTGTACGTAGCCTCCATCTTGCCCCAGTTGACGTCAGGAAGCTTTGCTGCGCTTCTCTGGGGTTGCTTTGAAAGCCCAAAGCCTGAAAGTCATTATCGTGGCGCGTGCTGATGGGCCTGCTCCTGGCCTTACCTTATGTAATCGAACTTATGCCTTACTTTAGGTACCTTGTGGTGGTACCTTTACCTACCTAGCTAGGTAGGTACGTGCTTTGGTGTGTAAGGGGCCATGCCAGGAACCTGCGGTGGCACTGCCATCGCCATGCCACATGCCCCCATATCCAAGGTCAGAACAAGAAGCCGATTCTTCGGCAAACCTTGAAGACACATTTTTTATTCTTTAAGCACAGTATCAGCAACAAAAGTCTAACTCCCTTCTCTTTCACAACAGCACTACGGGCCGCGCCACTCCTCGATACCCAGCTCTGAGCTCTCTTGTCCGGTATCTTTCCGAACACCACGATGACCCTGAACGGTCGGCATGGCAGCCCTGCGGCTCAATACCACTTGGTAGCAGCCGTCTGAGCCTCGAGCACGGGATCGACGTGGAAATCTGATCATTCTTTATCGAGAATTAGTTGCTTCCAAATTTATCGCATGCAAACTTGTCACATCACCAGGGAGCCAAAACGGTGGGACCCCTGCGAAGGGCGTGTGAATAGGCACGGGGTATAGAGTCTTGACTTCGCCATGGCATGGAGCAACCATCAAAGGTATGCAGCAGCATCCTGACGGGCACGTTTCTGACACGTCGTTTCTGCCCACACGCTTCCGAGTCACAGGCCACGGATGGGTGCGAAACACCATGTCCCTGAAAGGGCGACATCGCAGACGATCTCTGGGTCGGTTTGAGGGGTAGCTCTTGGTAAGAAACAATACCGCCAGGGACTCTACTCCCAAGCTACCTGTAGGTTGGCAGAGGAACCTAGGAGACCAGACCGTTTTCATGCGCACACATACCTCTGTTCTGCCAAGACTAGGGGAGCTCAAGTCTCCATGCGCTGGCAAGGTACGCATAACAGGCTTGGTAGAGTGGGCAGACACAGTGATCATGCCAAAGATATATCACCGTGCGCCATCCGAAGACTGGGAGCCTGCCTCATCCCGCCCGCCCGACTGAGCGTTATTCTGATCAAAAATGGCGGCCGGAATACGGCCTCACGCTGACATTGAAAGATAGGCTTTCGGTTGGGCCTACGCGACAACGCACACTATCTCAGATACACATCATGGCGATCAACCATGCGATGAATCGATCATGAGACTTGAATCCATACCCTGAGGAACGAGGACCCCCGGCACTTGTCCCCCAACTGCACACCCTCTTTCCCATATCACCCAACTCTGCGTGACAAACACTCCCATGGCAGTTTGCGTGATGCTGATCCCGGACCCGACGGAACGGAAGCCCAGACGTGTCGATGGCCGTGCGATGCCGTACGACGGTTGTCCACATGTCCTTCTCATGAGTAAACGGAGGGCAATATGCCAAACCGTGGGTCGCCAACCCCCGGTACCAGTGTTGACCTCCGCGCCCATCACCAGCAATGGCAATATGGAACCTGCCCCCCCGAGATGTGTCCCTACCACCCCCGCACCCGCCGCATGTCACGGCACATCATGTGCAGAACAATGGCATTCATGGTTGCTTCTAGTGATCACCGTTATCTCAATGGCACAGGTCACGAGGGGCTGTCAGAGCATGGAGCCTGCATAAGACGTCATGGATAAATACGCCGAAAGAGGACGAAGGAGCATCAACATATGAGTTTGACCAGTGCTATGCCTGCTGTCCATGCAAGGCGTCCCATCCTGAAAGTAGTACAGACGCATTCTGAGTCGTGGAATCGCGCCCAGCTATTCTCCCGGGACTCATGACCTCAGAATCGTGGGGCTTTCGCGACGAAGACGCGAGGTGATATGTCCCAGCCGACTGCGTCCCCGCTCCCGCCTTGTTCTAGCGTGGGGTGGACGTTCGAGAAGCCGTCAAGAACGGAAGAGAAGAAGGGAAGAACCCATACATCAGAAAGCGTCCTGCAGCTGTAATGACAGGCCATCTCAAGTGAGACGACAGGAAACCGTCCCATCTATCCTATCGCTGCCCATAGGCACGGCGATTCCGCAGGCAAAGTCCAACACAAAGAAATCCGGATGACGTGACATTCCCATCCTTGAGCATCACAGGAAAGTGGCTGCTCAGAAAACCCATGTGAAGGACTCCTTAACTTCAAATGGAATGGTATATCTGAGTTCATCATTAGCAAAGTAATACCGAGTAGGAGAGGAGCGGATGGAGCATACTTGACATCGGCTGATGAGGCGCCAATGAGAACGTTGAACGTGCCCTCTTCCGCAATCCAGCTGGGGATCGTGGTGTCATAGTAGCCCACGGCATGCTTGTCGAGGTTGATACGTAAGTGGACAGTCTCGCCAGCTTCCAGGAAGACCTTTTCAAAAGCAACAAGCTCTTTCTCGGGGCGTGGTAACCTTGACTTGTCATCCCGTACATATATTTGCACCGTTTCCGCGCCGGCGACGGACCCAATGTTGCTGACCGCAAAGCAAAGCTCGATGGTGTTATGCGGTGTGAGGATCTTACTGTTGAGGGAAGGTCGCCCGTATTCAAACGTGGTGTATGACAGCCCGTGACCGAAAGCAAAGAGAGGTTCGACCAGGGCTCTGTCATAGTATCGATAGCCGATGTACAAGCCTTCGCCGTAGTTGACCTTGAGATTCTCTCCCGGCCAATTGTTGTAAGCAGGGGCATCCTGAATGCGCTTTGGGAAAGTTGACTAGTAGCATATTAGGCTTGAACTTGACTTGTTAGGGTTGTGGAATCGGATACTCACAGGAAGTTTGCCACTGGGGTTCTTGAAGCCGAAAAGCACGTCTGCCAGAGCGTTGCCGGCTTCTTGTCCTTGGTACCAGCCTTGAATGATAGCAGGGACTCGGTCAACCCAGGGCATTGTGACAGGAGTGCCTGACTGGTTGATGACGACGGTGCGAGGGTTAGCTTTGACGACAGCCTCGATCAGCCTGTCCTGACTTCCATCAGACGGCAGGTCCATTGTTTGTCGGTCATAGCCTTCGGATTCCCATTCAGCATCGAGGCCGACAATAACCACGGCGACATCGGCAGCCTTGGCGGCCTCAACTGCTTCTTGCAGGAAATCGACCTGGTCTTCCTCCTTGAACCCGATCCGGCATCCTCCGTACTTGTGAGTGATACCAAATTGTTTCTGTTTCGCAATTGGGCGAAGTTCGTTGGTCATCTCGACCCTCAGCTCAACTGGTTTACCGGCTTCCATTTCGACCTTGACGAGGTAGTCGACAGAACCATCAAACATGGCCTCACCCTCTTCAGTCCAATCCCACAAGTCCATTTCGAGCTTCCCATTTACGTAGAGCTTTCCTGGCCCGACGCTCATGAAGCTGACGGTGTGTGTACCGGTGGAATTCGAGGTTAGGTAAGTTGTCGCCACGGCCGACCATTCGGGGCCAACTTCGCTAATAGGAGCGGAGTCCCAGAGGAACAAATCCGTGTTAGTTCTTCGTTGCACTACTACCGGGTCGCCCTGAAATTTGTCGCCCGCAAACCACTCGATGCTGACACCTGGTTTGCCTGACTTGTCCTTGCAGAAGCGTGAAGCAACAGGGAGCCACTTATGAATGTGGCAGCCCTGCGCAAAGGTGATCTCGGCTTCGGATGCGGCTCGAATGCTATCCAGGGGTATCGTGTTGTAGTACGGGTTGAGGCTGGCGCTACCACCACCGCCAGCAATGGCTCGGTTAGCATTCGGGCCTATCACTGCAACTCGAGTCGTTTTGGCGTTCAAGGGAAGAACGCCACCCTCGTTCTTGAGAAGAGTGAGACCTTCAGCGCCAGCAGCCCGGATGAGCGCTCTGGTGTCTTCGCGGTTGTCCTCTCTTTCAGCCTGCTCTTCGGCCATGTCATCCCCCTTGAGCCTCTCCACCAGTGTCAAGACGTTCTCGGCAGCGCGGTCAACATCGCCTTCAGAGATTTTGCCGTCTTGAATTGCTTGTGTGACCTTGTCAAATCGCCACTTGGGCGAGTATGGGAACTCGATGTCGCAACCAGCCAGGATGGATTCTACCGTGGAGTTGGTGCCACCCCAGTCAGACACAACAGCACTGCATCTCGTCAGCAAAACTACCTCCCGTGCATTCCGCAGGGCCTCTGACATACCCATCATAACCCCATTCCCCTCGCAGAATCGTCCTCAACGTGTGGTCATGCATATCGGCATGGGTGCCGTTGATCAAGTTATACGATGTCATGAGGGCCCAAGGGTTGGCCTCGCGGACAGCAATCTCGAAGGGTCGAAGGTAGATCTCGCGGAGTGGCCGTTCTTGGATAAGAGAATCTATCGTAAGACGATGTGTCTCTTGCTCATTGCCCACGAAGTCTAGCTAATGTCAATTCGCCGTTGTTGCCAAACATTAGGAGAGGAACATACGCTTAATCGTAGCTGCAACGCC